AATTATTGCATACACAAATTTTCACTTGTCATATATGGCAAGATGAGCATTGCTATTTAAGCCAAGATGGCAATTTCTGCCTATTCGGCACGACATATATAATATATATATATATTATATATATATATATATATATATATATATATATTATATATATATAATGTTCGTTTGGCCTTTGTAGGCACCAGAGGTTAGCTGAACAGGCAAGCAAACAGGCATGTGAGTCGACAAGAGGTTCTCGGAGTTGAAAAGCTTCTCAGCCTTGCAGTTCCACAGTGCTCTGGTTGACCTTCCTTGCTTCGAACACAAAGACTTCTCCCATTTCCTTAAGGTTGAGCAGTTGTAGGGCTGCCGTTGTGGCAACAGAAGGGTTCCTGACATGATAAATGTACTGGCACCAGCATCTAGAAGCAAGCTTCAGATAAATGTTTAGTTTTCGCGTTATTGAACAATCCGGTAATGAATAACAAGGCACAATACCGTGACTGGAGCAATACACCAATAAAATGAAACTTAGGACGGCGTTTCGGTCGAAACTTCAGGTTATTTGTGTATTGAACAAGCTAGAGTTTTTGCAGATATTTTTACGCTTACCATCTTTTAATTTTTTTTCCAGTGGGTGGGAATCCAAAATAGAAAAACATATAGTTCTCTTTTATCAGCCCGAGATATTTTAAGTATTCCGGGTGCTGAGGTTCTGTGTACTCATGCCACTTTAAATCAGGGCCGGGTTGTGGTATTCTCTCGCGACCTAATGCGGTATTCTGAGGATAAGATTTTGAAAGAGCTGGAAATGCAAAGGTTGTGAAGGTTAAGGAGTTTGAGGAGAGTATGGATGGAGTTTTCACTTTGAGAAAGTATTGTTGGTGATGGTATGTTTCGTCGTCATTATAAGACTGTCCTCAGTCGACGGAGGACGTCTTTAATGTATAAAGATTTCCAAATGTTGCACAAGTCTCATTCTTCAATCAGTTGGCTTTTTAAACCATTTACATCATACATATACATCAGCCGTGGCCACCTGCACACCATCCATAGCTACCTGATTGCAGCAATTCCTCTTGTTCCTCGCTGTGTGACTCGCCGTCCAGCAACTCTGAGATCATTTTAACTTTTTCCACTTCTTCGACTTTGACGCTTCAGTCTTTTATATATATTTATATATATATATATATATAGATATAATATATATATATATATATATATATATATATATATATATATATATATATATATATATATATATAATATAATATAACCACCCTTATGGAAATTTTAAGTCTTTTGAAGTTAACCATTAATTATATATTTTAAAAACTGTTTAGGGTTATATTTTGAAATGTTGTAATGGTCATATTTGAGTGGGACAGCCCGAGAGTTTTTACGAAGCTTCATATTTAAGCGCTCTCGAACCCTTAACAACTTCCTTCCAGTCTGTAAGAAATTCATGAAATTTTATCAATATCCTATTTTTTAACGTTTAGTAATACTGATAATTAGTGCAGGTTATTTTAGCAGTGAGACTTTTCGTGGTTGTTGGTTTGATTGGTTTTGTATTTTAATTCTGGTTTGCCTAATGTGTGTGGGGATATCTGGAGAGGGTTTCGGGGGGTTATCGCTCCCTCGGCGGCCCGGTCCGTGATCAGGCTTCGTGGTGGATCAGGGCATGATCAATCAGGCTTTTACTGCTGGCCGCACGTAAACCAACGTACAAGCCACAGCCTGGCTGGTCAGGTACTAACTTTAGGTTTACTGAGAGTTTTTGATGACTTACACTGTTCACTATTTTTAATAAGAGCTTTCAGAATTACATTTATATGTATTTGAGTCGCTTCAAAATGTTTTTTTTACATAAAATATGAATTTTAGTTTATTATGTTGATATGTCTGGATCTTTAGCTCTCTCGATCTCCACAGAGAAGAGAGAGAGAGAGAGAGAGAGAGAGAGAGAGAGAGACAGAGAGAGAGACAGAGAGAGAGAGAGACAGAGAGAGAGAGAGAGCTCCTACTAACGCATTTAGTTGAAACATCGTAAAATATCATCAGCAATGAAGAAAACCACCAGTCTTAGGATTGGAGCCAGTAGCAGACTTCGTATCTAAAGATAATTTTAGAAATAAGCAACGCATCCCATCCTTGACAAAATTATTTACTTTTATGAAAATTGGATGTTTAAGCTTTACCTGCCCCGTGATTCCCAGTGCCAATATTGTCACGTTACTCACTCCATGGTAAACTAAACCCATCAGTTACACAGGCTACGGCACATAAGTATTTTACCAATTCGACAAAACCAATTGAAAATGAAGACTTTTTGAATCCGCTCTACATTTTGGAATTACAGAAGATATCTCCAGGAATACTCTTAAATCAATACTAGCAGTAATTAGTGTTCCTCACATTGCCTTTGCAGCGGCAGAGTTTTCTGAGTGTGTTTCGACATTATTCAATGCACTACTAACAGTTTTTCTATCCGATGATACATATAATGAAGCCTGTAAGAACACAGCTTAACTGATGAACTTGCTGAGGTTTCACTGGGCAGCCGAGATGCACGATTTTTCCGAGGAGGCAGTAAAGAATGGTGTGCCTTAGATTAAATGTCTTGACGGCACATGAACTCGAAGCTCTCTCTGATGTGAAGAATTTTTCAGGAACCCTCAGTAAACTCTATTTTTCACAGATTCACCGAGTATTAGCTTCATGAGAAAAGAATGTCTCAAGAAGAAAGTTTGCATTTCCCCATTGAGTCTCCTTCTATGAGAGTTCCAGTATGAGTGCAGCATCCGGACTGGTAATACCGTGGATTGAGAACAAATGAGGAGGATCTTCAGACATTGAATTATCACCAGTTTGTGCAAATTTACCGGAGGCAACAACTGGGAATGATGCATCTTTCCTTCTCAAGGAGGATGAAGCGTCTTTTTCTCTCACCTGTAGATGATTTCCTTCTAGGCAGTGAATGGCTCTTAATTATAAAATTTGGAGCTAACCTTTAATTTTTTAGGCATTGTGTGACGCCTACGAGCAAAGTGCTTTCCCATGAATTTGCTGATGAGCCCGTAAGTGATTACGTCGTGGGTCCTTAGATGCTTACTGTGTGTGTTTGTCGTCTCACTCTGTATTCTCTTCTGTTCCTTGTAGGTCTCATCTACCTTACGTCATTTTTTTTAACGCTATTGTCACTTGTCTTGGGGGAAAATAAGAGTGTAGACAGAGAGTATTGAAAATGATCTATGACATGCTGATAAACTGACTGTCGATTCATCTGAAGATTAAGGTCTATTTGTAAATTGTTTCAACCACGGTACAGTGACTTTATTCTTCAATAGAAACATTTGCACACAGCCGTCAAGTGAACCGGACTTTTGTTTCATACTGGAAGTAGCAAACATGCAATTGCAAACCAAACTCTGAGTAAAGGTTAACGTAAAGTTCAGCTAAAGCCCGTCCATCTATGCAACCTTCGTATCTTTCTGCAACTCACTCCCACGGGTAAAAGTGACTGTGGTACCAACTTGTGAATGTCGGGATTTCACTGTCATGTGTCCTCAGTCTTCTCGGTGATTTACAGTTTTAGTGCATGGAAACATAGTCTCACTTTTATGCGGTATTGTATGTTCTTAGTTGCAATATATTTCATAATTATTGAAACGGTTAATTAATGTTAACCTAGCATAAACATCTACATAGAGAAATTGATTTAAGACAATAAAAATTATATTAATGAACAGGTCGATAAATATTAAATCGAGGCGCTTAGCATGTAAGAACTTAAGAATAAAGGGTAGAATTAATTAAATTCTAAAGATTACTTATTAAAATATAGCATGACTAGTCGGTAATCACCTAAAATGATTTACTCAGTTGCCCGCAATATTTATCTCATTTTAAAACTTACGCGAAATTTAAATTGACAAGCTTTTAATAACCTATGGGTCCAGTAGCTGAGGAAGAGGACGAGGTGGAGGGTGAGAAAGGTGGTGAGTGAGGAAGATAATGAAGGGATTGTCGTTAGGAAGGCATGAGGGAGATAATATTCAGATGAATGAAGCAATGGTAATACATAGCTAATCTAGCGTGTTTGAGCCGTGTAGCGACTTGATCAGCCTGGCTTCTCGGAATTATCCTCGGAGACAGAGAGAAAAGATTAATATAGAGCAAGGCGGAGAAGATCTAACAATCTTTAATCCGTTTCCCGAGAATAATTAATGGTGCTGGAAGGGGGCGGCAGGGCTTCCGGAGAAACTGTCAGAGGATATAAAAGGGATTAGACCATAAGAGTTTTAGGTAAGAAAGTAATCCTTAAGTCTGCAAAGAAGATTTAAGATATGTTTTCCCCTATCTTACTTTAAGTAATCCTCTTTCTCGAGACATGGCAGTTGATTAACCGACTTACAAAACGATGAATTTTTAGTAGATATTGGAATGATCATCTTAGTTTGAGAACATTGCTTTAACAATGACAGAAGTATTAATCTTCTCTGGTTTTCGAAATTATTTATTCAAAATCCTCATTGACTACCTACCCTCTTAAAATGCTGAGTGATACTGCCCCATGAATAGCTGACCCCCATGAGTGACTGACACCCCCTGACTTACTGACCTCATAACTGACTCATCGCAGATAACTACAGATCACTTGTTAACTGGCCAGAATGTCGTTAATGTCCATGATTGACCCTGATGTCGTTAACCGACGTGATTGCCACCGATGCCATTGATTGCCATGGTAGTCGTTGATTTTGACTGAATTGTTGACTGACCTCGTTTTCATTGTTATCAGTCTCTAGTTTGCGTTGGTCCGTGGCAACTGGAGGTCTTTGACTGACCATTATATCCTTGACTTACCTGTCAGTGTTCTATACCATTTTCAACATATATGACCAGGTTCTTGCTGAAGTCACTGACTAATCTAGTCATTGCTAACATTATTGACTAACCTGGGTGTAGTTGACTTGCACAGTTAACGGATCTGTTTGTTGTTGATGTTGACTGACCTGGTCGTCATTGATGTACCACATGAGAGAGGCAGCTGGTCGTGAACGGGCTGACGTACAGTTAACGTCCAATTTATCACCAACATGATACTTTGCTCGTCCCCCACTGATGGTAGGAACCTCGTCCGGCAGGTCTGTGGGGGAGAGAGAACATTAGAAAGAAGGAGCACTATAGCAGGTATACTGACCCCTTCTAGGCAGGTCCACCCACACCCACTCATGTACTTATCTAACCTATTTTTAAAGCTACACAAGGTTTTCGCTTCAATGACGCTGCTGGGGAGTTTGTTCCACTCAACCACAACTCTCTTGTCATACCAGAATGTACGTAGTGAGAGATATCAAACAGTGTTTCCTGTAAATCTGAAACCATAGAGCGAAATAAGTAATTCATTTGTTCCCCTTCATGCAGGTGCCGTTCATAATTACCGGGGTGCCAGTACTGAAGGACTCTATCAATTCTGTAGGGGATGGAGATATATGAGTAGCGCTCCTTACACCTGTGCCTATTTGGTGCTTATTTACTGTGGCTAACAGTTAATAGGCACCATGCTCTTTGTCGACTGTTTTGGATGGAATCTTTGAAGGAAGGGGTAAGGGGTTAATATACATGAAATAGGGCCGGATTTTAAAATAATTTGTGGGTAGAAACAGGTATAAGACTATAAGTTTAACAGAGTATAAACGAAATGTAAAAAATGCATCCATCGATATCAACCCTGTTGACGGCAGTGTCATGTGCTGATCGTTGTGTAGCAACACACACACACACACACACACACACACACACACACACACACACACACACACACACACACACACACACACACACACACACACACACACACACACATACACACACACAAACACACACACAACACACACACACAACAAAACACACACACACACACACACACAACACACACAACACACACACACACACACACACACACACACACACACACACACACACACACACACACACACACACACACACACACACACACACACACACACACACACACACACACACACACACAATGGAGAGCCAAGATGATGGATGTGGTACTGGAGAACCTCATGCATCAACATGTTAGAGACACTACCAGAGAGAGAGGAGAGGATGAACCAGCAAGGTTGGACCTTGTATTCACCATGAGTAGTTCGGACATCGAGGGTATCATGTATGAAAGGCCCCTGGGAGCTAGTGATCATGTGGTTCTGTGCTTCGACTACATAGTTGAGCTCCAAGTGGAGAGAGTAGCAGGAATAGGCTGGGAAAAAACAAACTACAAAAGGGGGAACTACTCAGGCATGAGGAACTTCCTTCAAGACATTCAGTGGGAGAGGGAACTGACAGGAAAACCAGTACAAGAAATGATGGACTATGTAGCAACAAAATGCAAGGAGGCAGAGGAGAGGTTTGTTCCCAAGGGAAACAGAAATAATGGGAAGAACAGAACGAGTCCTTGGTTCACCCAAAGGTGTAGGGAGGCAAAAAACTAGGTGTACTAGAGAATGGAAAAGGTACAGAAGACAGAGAACTCAGGAAAATAAAGAAATCAGCCGAAGAGCCAGAAACGAATATGCACAGATAAGAAGGGAGGCTCAGAGACAATATGAAAATGACATAGCATCAAAAGTAAAGACTGACCCGAAGCTGTTGTACAGCCACATCAGGAGGAAAACAACAGTCAAGGACCAGGTAATCAGACTGAGGAAGGGTGATGGGGAATTCACAAGAAACGACCGAGAGGTATGTCAGGAGCTCAACACAAGATTTAAAGAGGTATTTACAGTGGAAACCAGTAGGACTCCAAGAAATCAGAACAGGGGGGCACACCAGCAAGTGCTGGATGAGGTACATATAACCAAGGAGGAGATGAAGAAGCTGCTATGCGAACTTGACACCTCAAAGGCGGTGGGACCAGACAACATCTCTCCATGGGTCCTTAAAGAGGGAGCAGAGATATTGTGTGAGCCATTAACAAAGATCTTCAACACATCATTTGAAACTGGGCAACTCCCTGAGGTATGGAAAATGGCAAATGTAGTCCCAATTTTTAAAAAGGGAGACAGACATGAGGCACTAAACTACAGACCTGTATCTCTAACGTGTATAGTATGCAAGGTCATGGAGAAGATCAGGAGGAGAGTGGTGGGGCACCTGGAAAGAAACAAGTGTATAATTGACAACCAGCACGGTTTCAGGGAAGGAAAATCCTGTGTCACAAACCTACTAGAGTTTTATGACAAGGTGACAGAAGTAAGACAAGAGAGAGAGGGGTGGATCGACTGCGTATTTTTGGACTGCAAGAAGGCTTTCGACACAGTTCCTCACAAGAGGTTACTGCAAAAGCTAGAGGACCAGGCACACATAACAGGAAAGGCACTGCAATGGATCAGAGAATATCTGACAGGGAGGAAACAACGAGTCATGGTACGCGACGAGGTGTCAGAGTGGGCGCCTGTGACAAGCGGGGTTCCACAGGGGTCAGTCCTAGGACCTGTGCTGTTCTTGGTATACGTGAACGACATAACGGAAGGGATAGACTCAGAAGTGTCCTTGTTTGCAGACGATGTGAAGTTAATGAGAAGAATCGAATCGGACGAGGATCAGGCAGGACTACAAAGAGATCTGGACAGGCTACAAGCCTGGTCCAGCAACTGGCTCCTTGAATTTAACCCTGCCAAATGCAAAGTCATGAAGATTGGGGAAGGGCAAAGAAGACCGCAGACACAATATAGTTTAGATGGCCAAAGACTGCAAACCTCACTAAAGGAAAAAGATCTGGGGGTGAGTATAACACCGAGCATATCTCCTGAGGCGCACATCAATCATATAACTGCTGCAGCATACGGGCGCCTGACAAACCTACGGATAGCGTTCCGATACCTCAGTAAGGATTCGTTTAAGACTCTGTACACCATCTACGTCAGGCCCATACTGGAGTATGCAGCACCAGTTTGGAATCCACACCTAGTCAAGCACGTCAAGAAATTAGAGAAAGTGCAAAGGTTTGCAACAAGACTAGTCCCAGAGCTACGGGGATTGTCCTATGAAGAAAGGTTGAGGGAAATCGGCCTGACGACACTGGAGGCCAGGAGGGTCAGGGGAGACATGATAACGACATATAAAATACTGCGCGGAATAGACGAGGTGGACAAAGACGGGATGTTCCAGAGATGGGACACAGACACAAGAGGTCACAATTGGAAGTTGAAGACTCGGATGAATCAAAGGGATGTTAGGAAGTATTTCTTCAGTCATAGAGTAGTCAGGCCATGGAATAGCCTAGAAAGTGATGTGGTGGAGGCAGGAACCATACATAGTTTTAAGGCGAGGTATGATAGAGCTCATGGGGCAGGGAGAGAGAGGACCTAGTAGCAATCAGCGAAGAGGCGGGGCCAGGAGCTGTGAATCGACCCCTGCAACCACAAATAGGTGAGTACACACACACACACACACACACACACACTTGCCCAGTCAGTGAGCACATTCAGACCAATACTCTACGGCTCGATCATGCATACACCGAGAATGGGCTCTTCCTGCAGCCCGTCCTATAACTTGAAAAGGAATATCAACGCTCGTATGAACTGTTTATTTATGCTCTGTCGGAAGAAACCCGCACTTCTCTACGTTATTGGCAGTTTACTATAATACATAAATAACCCGCATTCTTGTGCGGGTTATTTGAATAATAAAAGTACTTGTGAGTAGTATAATAACAAGTAGATTTGCGTTAACGTAATATGTAAACAAATATTTAGATTTTCCCGAAGCGAGAGAGATATATCATAATCTACACTTGGAAAATCCTGGAGGTTATTCCGGGGATCAACGCCCCCGCGGCCCGGTCCATGACCAGGCCTCCCGATGGATCAGGGCCTGATCAACTAGGCTGTTACTGCTGGCCGCACGCAGTCCAACGTACGAGCCACAGCCCGGCTGATCCGGCACTGACTTTAGGTATCTGTCCAGCTCTCTCTTGAAGGCAGCCAGGGGTTTATTGGCAATTCCCCTAATGCTTGATGGGAGGCTGTTGAACAGTCTTGGGCTCCTTACACTTATGGTGTTTTCCCTTAGTGTACCAATGGCGTCCCTACTTTTCATTGGGAGTATTTTGCATCGCCTGCCCAGTCTTTTACTTTCGTAGGGAGTGATTTCTGTGTGTAGATTTGGGACCATTCCTTCCAGGATTTTCCAAGTGTAGATTATGATATATCTCCCTCCTGCGTTCCAACGAGTACAAGTCAAGTGCTTCCAAGCGTTCCCAGTAGTTAAGGTGCTTGACAGAACTTATACGTGCAGTAAAGGATCTCTGTACACTCTCTAGATCTGCTATTACACCTGCTTTGAATGGAGATGTTAATGTACAGCAGTATTCCAGCCTAGAGAGAACAAGTGATTTGAAAAGGATCATCACTGGCTTGGCATCTCTCGTTTTAAACGTTCTCATTATCCATCCTATCATTTTCTTTGCACGTGCGATCGTGGCACTGTTGTGATCCTTGAATGGTTCCGAATCTGCACACAGAAATCACTCCCTACGAAAGTAAAAGACTGGGCAGGCGGTGCAAAATACTCCCAATGAAAAGTAGGGACGCCATTGGTACACTAAGAGAAAACACCATAAGTGTCCGGAGCCCAAGACTGTTCAGCAGCCTCCCACCATACATAAGGAGAATTAGGCCCCTGGCTGCCTTCAAGAGGGAGCTGGACAGATACTTAAAGTCAGTGCAGGATCAGCCGGGCTGTGGTTCGTACGTTGGACTACGTGCGGCCAGCAGTAACAGCCTGGTTGATCAGGCCTTGATCCACCGGGAGGCCTGGTAGTGGACCGGGCCGCTGGGGCGTTGATCCCCGGCATACCCTCCAGGTAGAAGCGGGTATCTTTAAGTGGTGGTTTAAATGTTTTTATTTCAAAGTTTTCGTTTATCACTTGAACAACTCATCCGATCGGCTTTAAACTCTCAACGCCGGTGTACTGTACCTAGAGGAAAGGTTCTTTCAACTATTGGCATGTGCAGATGGCCTCTGATCAGTTTTATGTTAACTATTTCTGAATCTGATTTCCGTGTGATAAACTTAAGAAACTCGCTTAAGTTCGGCTTCAAAATGCCCTCATTA